ATTCAGAGTTTTGATTTAACAAATATACTTTTCGTATAGTCCTGAACATATTCATTATAATATGTCAAAACGTTTTGTAAAGAGTTCTAGGCATTGGCGATAATATAAAAAAATGTACGATTTTTAAATAAATAGATACAGTCCAAATGAGTATAATATGAGACGCTGTTTAAAAGTCACATCTGATAGTCCAATACATTTTTCGTATATTTCTAAATGTATTCTAATGCTTTGGTAAGAATTCTAATCACAAAGAATATTTCGACCAGCGTCTTATACTTTTCCGTTTGTCTCTTTGTTAATTTTATTTTAATTTATTAATTATACGTTCTTAAATTGTATTGTTTTTAAGTATTTATGTTTTTTTCTTATTTAATATAATTTTGACATTTATAAACATAATATATAATTTATATAGTTATTTTTTTTAATCTATTTTAATTAGATCTTAAATCTATTTTTATTTTCTTGAAAACTATTATTACGTTATTAATTTTTACATTATTTACTATTCCATACGAATTCCTTAACGCTAATAACATTTTGGGATAAGAAAAGCGAAATATATTCACTGTGTTTAATAATATCTTATCGATATGTTTCTCATTTTGTTTCCTATTCTGACCGCAACTTTTCGAAGAGGGCGTTAGCGTACAGTGAATTTTTTTTGCCCCACTAACCCCCGTAAGATCGTCGGTCTTTAATAGTATCTCGTCGGTGTAACGGTTAATATTTCGAATGCGCGCATATGAGTGGAAAAGAATAAAATTGCATGTAGGTGTAGCATGCGGGTGTTACAAAAGTGCGGAGATCATCGCAGCATGGCAGTTCGGGATAAGACTCTACTTAAAATATTTAGGGCCATGCCCGGTTTTTACAATAAGTGAATAATAATAAGTGAATAAAAATAATAAAATAGTTTAGCTAAACATTTGTGTAATTGTAAAAGGGTTGAATCTTAAGCACGGTGGGTAAGTGAGGAAAGGGGAGCAAGGGGAAACGATCGGTATTTAAGTGGTGATGGGTAGATTACAAATACAACTAATCCATGCGACTTACTATTGCGATGATTACTAAGAAATGTCGCTGCAGGAGAATCGGCAAACGGGAGTCGGCCAGCAGTTGGTTCTCTGCAAGGTGCTCTTGGGGTTCCGCAGTGAGGTCGAAGACAATAGCGCACACAAAAAAGAAACACTCCTGTTTTGAATATAAATAAATGAATAATAAAGAGAAGTTACAAATTTACCCGTCCCAATATTAAAATATTAAAAATTTAATAATTAAATCTGCGATTATAATTCGGCGAGAAACAACAAAGATTAAATCGCGAGTTAAGAAGCGAATGCGAACGCGAACGAACGCAAAGGCACACGAATGTCCGTAAAAAAGGTTTCAGTTTGCTCGTGAAAAACTGACGGATCAGAGCGCATGAAGACTGCCGTTCAAAAAGATAAAGTCAAGTGAAACCATTTCCTCCGGGAAGGATCTTAATAAAAAGTTGTTGCGGGGATGGAACTTTGAAATTAAGAGTGTCTCACAGATCTTTAACGAATAGGGATTAGCGAGTCATTAGGGATGTGGGGGAAGTTAACCTCTCGTAGATCTGAATTTTGAGAAAAAAAAGGTCTGATTGGTAAAGAGAGGATTTTTAAGAAGGATAGTGAGTGGGTCCGAGCCTCTATTAACATGTGGCACTATCTTAATATTTGTAGCCGAATGGGTGGTCGGCGGGATTAAATAACTGACGCCATGAAGGCGGTTATTCGAGTGCACAGTCTGCCATGGGAGAAAACAAATATCTACTTTGACAGCTTTATGATTTTCCGTCGTCGCCAGTGCACTAAGAGTTTTTTTTACATTTGGCTTTACGCATATGACTTTCAAGTGTTATTTTAGCTTGGTTACAATTCGATCAGGTTTTAAAATTTGTTTGTTAATTCGAAAAGCGGGCCCTCAACAATCTAAAGTTCATATGATCGGTAAACTGGCGTCCATGGAGCTTGAGCTCATAAAAATTATCTTAGTGTTATTATTTAGAATGATTTTTTACGCTGTATCGGAGCTCGTCCGTTCCGAGAAAGAAAGAAAAGAATCGTGAAGTCCACCGGACGTAACAAGAGAATAAACACAGTTCTCTTCTTAAAGAACAACTGTATGAGGCAGGAATAGCAGATTAGAGCTAAATTTAAATTTACTGTTTTTATAAACGAAAAAAGATTACTTAAAACTTTAAATATGTTTTTCTCAAAACGACTTTTTTTCGAACTAGCGGACACATAACTCACACAAATATTAACCGATTTATTTGAAATTTAGTATACATCTTCAAAAATATATATCTCAGGGAAGTACGTAGGGATTTTTCGATTAATTAAAAACTTTTCTTTTTATAAACAAAAAAGTCAGATTTTTCACAAAAATCAAAATTTCGAAAATTCCTTACATACTTCCTTGACAAATTTAATGTAGAAAAACAAAAAATTTCAAAAATTTTTTTGTTTTTCTTTTAGCTCAAAATTTGCAGTTGCCTGTCCGCTAGTATAGCGCGACCTTTCAACTTTGACGGTATATTTATAGATTTCTGAGCATTATTAAAAAAATAAAAAAGATTTTTATAGACTTTAAAATGTATATAATAAACGGCACAAAGTGAATTATTGTTAATTTTATTAATTTTCATATGAAAGAAAAATTTAGGCTTGTCAAGGTGGTATTACCTCTCAAATGGATACCTGTAATTTTTCTTGCATATTTATAGAGAGGGGTCATTTGCAATCAAAATCATATATAGTAAAAAATTGCTACTATGCATCGTTTACGAGATAATCGGCATCTTAAGTAGTAAAGTAATTGGTTTTCCACATCACAATTTGAAAGATAAGATTCATCAGACTTAATATCAGATTACATAATATTTTGAAGTCAGTTACATCGAACATGACCTTCAAATCGTCAAAATACACGACTGCTTTGTAAATAAAGTATTTGTATAGCACGGAGTATAAATTATAATACAGTATGAATCTGTTAGTCAGTTGTCTACGTATTTTCAATGAATACATATTATACATATTGTAGACGAAAATAACGATGTTTACAATTACTGAAAAGTGTGATATGCTCGAGATGTGGCATTTAAGTATGCGTAATGAAAATGAAACACGGTCACTTTATGAACAAAAATATCCAGAACAAACGATACCAAACGGTCGTACATTTCGACGAGTTGAAAACTAATTACGTCAAAAAGAATCGCTAATAAGACAACAGCGTACAACAGAACAGATGAAGAAAAAGAGACAAATGTGCTATTAAATTTATTGAACTTTTATTGAAAACAGATGTACATCTATAAGAATAGCATGCAATTTAGAAGTATCAAAAAATTACGTGCACGCTGTATTAAAGAATTACAAATACAAACCGTTTCATGATAATATAGTGTAATTTTTACACAAAGGAGATGCAGATCGCCGATTAATGTTCTGCCACTGGCTTCGAGTTAACTATCGCACTGACATTGATTTTCTTAAAAAAATATTATGATCTGACGAATCTTGTTTTTCAAATTGTAGTATGAAAAATCGATATAATTTGTATACTTGGTCCGATGTAAATTCACATATGACAAGAGATAAAAATTTTCAATGCAGATTTTCGGTGAATGTAATGTTCGGTGCGGAATCATCGAAACGAAAATTATTGGATCTTTCTTTTTTCATAGTCATTTTAATGGGAACAGATATTTGGAATTTTTGCTCTACTACTTTCTCAGAATATTTATGCGATCTTCCATTGTCAATCTTTCGAGACATTATTTTTCAATAAGATGGTGCAGCACACAATAAACGTGCTGTAGTCAACTTTTTAAATGATAAATTTCCTAATTATTGGATAGGTACTAATGGCGATGGCCACTGAGGTCTCTGGGCCCTATGCGATGGCCACTGAGGTCTCTGGACTTGACACTTTGCGATTTTTTTTGGGGGGGGGATATATTAAGGACACTATCTATACAAATATTCTTGAAAATGAAGAAGATTTATGATATAAGATCACTAGAGCTGTTGAAGGCATTACAAAAATTGCAGTCAACAATGGAAAATGTTATAAAACACGTTGAATGCTGTACAAACATAATGGTCAAAATTTATGTGTTAATAAATGTTTCATGAAAAAACAATGTTTATTTACCTTCTTAATCTCTTTGATATTCCAATCACATTCAAAAATACTTACAATTCAATTTACTACTTTAATACTTAAGATGCCGATTATCTCGTAAATGATGCATAGTAGTAACTTTTTACTACATATGATTTGGATTGCAAATGACCCATACTATATAAATATGCAAGAAAAATTATAGGTCCATTTAAAAAAAACTATGTTAACCATAATTCGAAAAAGTTACGAGTAAAAAAAATTTTTTACTTGCATTTTGTAGCTGATTCAGAGCCGTGCAAATTTCTCTTATTACACTTTCATGTAACTTCAAACCAGTTGCGAGATATTTGCTCGGACATCTATGGATGGACACCCTGTATATAATAGTGCTTTAATAGGCTGTTATGTTCAGCCCGAGGTAATTATTTTTTTTTTTTTTGAAAATGGATAGGCTAAGAAGGACCCTCCAAATATCCTCTCGCAGATGGGCGCACTGAGGCGTTCCTACCAGTCGGACACACTGTGCAGATCCACAAGTGCGAGTCAACGTCTTGCTATGACTTCGACTGCGTGACGTGCGTCCGTCGGTCCGTAATTTAGGCAAGAAAATTTAATCTCTTTTGCCAGGGACCATGTGCGAATCTTGGGATAACGAGGAATGAAAGAGGGAGCAAATAACCAAACGATAAATAATTTAAATTTTACATGTAATTAATAGTTTTAAAACGATTACAAGATTAGGTAGCTACAAGATCGTATCATTATTTCTTGCGTTGAAATACATTTACTGACGATATATTTATATTTGAAAAAAAAATAATAAAACAAGAAGGGTGTTACGTACAGAAATTCATGTAATATAAATGTTCTAAAAATTGACGGATGTATTGTTTGATTTCTGTATACAAATTCTATTAGTTTAGTATTTTTAATCTGTTATTAATCTATTTAAATTTGTATTTTGTTATCTGTGTGTGGTTGTTTCTGAGAGGAGGTCGGGTTTTCGATAGTGAGGTCTAGGGGAGGAGGGGAAGGAGTCCGGAGTTCGCAGAACTCGTCCAAGGATTTCTGGGTGCGGAAATCTGGATATATCTGGAGGTCATGGCGTTCTGGGAAGAGTACACTGAAATCTGGGGGTGATCCAGGTTCAGATGGTTTGATCGGGGAATAGGACGGAGGAGATATGTATAAATAATGGGGTCTCCTGCTGGAACAACTCGTGGTTTCTTCATGTGTCAAAACCTCGGATGTCCTAGGCGAGGGATAGTTCCCTGATTGACGAGCTCGCTTGTTGCGACGGTAACGGAGCCTCTTCAGAGCTCGCTTCCGTTTCTGAGCATCGGAAAGAGTGGATGATGCAGCTTTCACTAGAAGAAATGGATTTGGTATATGAAGGAAATGTCATTAGTCGTGAACCTTAAGGCTATCTCTGAAATATTTCAGGAAACCGAGAGATCCCACGGAGGAGAGAAATGAAGAAAGGGAAGAAAAAATTGTAAGAGAGGAGAGAAAAAAAAAGAATAGATTTCTCGAATTATTCAGAGGCCATGAACCTGCTGAGTGCTCCACAACACATAGGGAGCCCGAGAGATTCGACGGCCCAGACAAAGAAAGAAAGAGAAAAGAAAAAGAAAAAGGGAATAGAAGTGTAACGAGAACAGCAAAGATAGAAAGGATGTAAGGGAGAAATGAGAAAATATAAGAAGAAGAGAGACCCAAAGAACTATTATTAGAGAATTTTACTATGTGTAGTCAAACTTACTGTTCTGTTTCTGGAATGCCGGAGGGATCTGCGAGATGATGAAGGTGAAAGCGTATCGCCAGGAAACTTGGTCACTTGTACTTGGTGAAAAAATATTCGACTGACACCGACTGATTGAATTACTGACAAACTGACAGACTGAAACTGTTCTGACCGCATGAAAAAAAGAAGTAGCAGTGCGCATTCCGTGCCTTTAAGGGCACTATATATATGATTTCATTGAGGAAAACATCTGTACACATGTTGTTCTTCAGCGATTAGAATAATAGAGATTATCTGCTTAGCCAAATTCTAGTAACTGACCCCCGGAAGAGATCAGTTGCGTAACCGTCGCGATCTAACAGCGTAACAGAACATGTGTCATCCGTTTATCTGCTTAACTAAATTCTAATAACTGATACCCGAAAGAGAAGAATCGTGCAGTCGTCACGACGTAACAGCATCTAAAACGCTTTTTTAATACTCCATTGCATTGCTCTTATGACGAACGGCATCTTATTTGCTTTGTATTATGCTGCTTCTGGACTATTTTCTGCTGCACCTGTTACAGGAGTCATAATCCATGGCCTTAAGAAATCCTGAATCACCTAAATAAAAACATTTTAATACAAGAATTTAATATTTTTATTTGTACATTGGCAATATAGTCTTGCAGTATGTGTAAAAAAATATAATAACATTTGTAGACAGCTATATTCAACTGATGATAGATCATAAAACTTTTCTTAGGTGAATTTTATAGTATATCCCATATATTATTCAACAGAAAAAATTATTTTTTAATAATTCTCAAGAGATCAATGTTTATATTGACTAGGCTATGCATGACAAAATTTATATAAATGTGTAAACTCTTTAATCAACTAATTGTACAGCATATTATAGCATATTACACTAAATAAATTGAAAGATATCTATTAGATTCGGAAAAAATTAACGAAGACCGACTGGATTTGAACTCGGGATCTCTCGTCTACCAATCCGACAATTAGTCTGCACGACCACGACGGCTCCTCTCTGTTAGCTGTTTATATTCCGAATCTCTTTCATGACCGCTTACGGTCGTCTAATTCTTACAGTTCGGCCATTCTGGTTACATTCGTCCCGAATGTACCGAGTCTTCCTCTATCGAACTTTTATCCGAAACTTGGAGCTTCTGCTCCTGACCTCGAGCGCCTCTCGATCGAACACGACACGAGTGAGTGACACTAGGAAAGGACCAATTAGACAAGGGCTGATGTAATCTTTGTTAACTTTGAAATCACCGAACGTGCTCCGATGTGCGGAGCAGCGAGCGACGGGGACTCTCTCCCTATTCGGCGACTGAGACGGACGTGTCATCCGCGAGAGTTCAAGTCGAATAGTCGAAAGTAGTAATTGTAGTGAATATAGTCGAGATATCGTTACAGGCGATATCTGTTAAATCGTTGTATTACGTTGTAGACTCAGTGAAAATATAGATAAACTAGTCGAAAGTAGTAATTGTAGTGAATATAGTCGAGATATCGTTACAGGCGATATCTATTAAATCGTTGTATTATGTTGTAGACTCAGTGAAAATATAGATAAACCGCATTCTATTAAAGTTGTGGAAAAGTTATTAAGCCTGCTCCATTATCCAATACGTGCCAGTCACCTCTCTCAGTGCGTGTATTAAATCATAGACAATAATTAGAAAAACGGACATTAATTCCTGACAAAACGGTTACTTTATTTAAATTTAAAAAGTACAAGAATCTTACAAAATAAGATCTTTATTGTTTTATAATTTTTCTTACATATATTATATGTATTTATTAAATGTGCATTATGCAAGATTTTTCTCTTCAATATAATGTCTTCTGTTTGTTGAATTTAATTTTTCTTACTCAGATAGCACAAAAAACTGAAAAAGAATTAATTTTTATGTCACCAAATCTGAATTCATTTTCAGATGCAAAAAGCATTCTTTGTATCTAAAGAAATTCTTTTTGCATCAGAAAATGAATTCATTGATGATAAAAAAATGAATTCTTTTTAAACTCTCTATACTATCTGGGTATATTTTGTCTTTATACTACATACAAAATTATACTAAGTGATATATTTACCTAACTGGAAATTATTGTTCGGATATTACTACAGATGGATCATCGTTTTCTTTATATTCTTTATATTTAATTATTTCAAATATAAATATCATGAATATTACCAGGATAATGGGCGTTTGTATTCATAATTTTTAGACGCCAATCACAAATCTGTAATAAAATGCAATATATAACTGCAATATATATTTACAAGATTTAAAAAATTGAAATAGTTTATTGAATATATATTAAACATAATAAATAATATTAAAATTATTATTACTAATTAATTGAGTAATATCCTTTCCTATTTACATATATATCATTACCTATTGAATACGCCTGCCCCTGCAAAATCTGTCACGCAATCAAACGTACTGCCTAATATGTTGATGCAACACCTTGTACAGGATTATTATTTCTTGTCAGAGGAAAAATGCAATATGGATACAATCGATACATCCTATTGTGTCTGGTAACAGATTTAACCAGAAAATGTTAGCAGACTGACTTCATCTGAGATCTCATTCTGCTTACATTTTATTGACAGAACCTGTTGACATTCTGTGCAAATATTTATATGATTATCAGTTTCACGTTGCATTCATGAAGTAATAACAAAACAAGAAATGTAATAACAAGACAAGAAATTATAAGCCAATGGATCAAATTTCCTTTTACTTTTGCAGAAATAAATGAACTACAAACACAATAACTATCCCGATAGCCAAACCTGAAATCATTTCTGCAAAAGTAGAAAGAAATTTGATCCATAATTTGACTCATAATTTCTTGTCTTGTTATTAAATTTATTATTTCATGAATGCAACGAATCCGTGGCATCCCCTCTCGTGGTGTGCCACCTTGTCGTGGTGAGGGGGGCTCCCTGTCCTTATGACCACCTGCTGGCAGTACCGGGGTTCTACCCTGGGAAAGCCCGGGTGCGAGGGGTCAGGGTCTAAGCGCACACCGTACGGACCCCTTCCGCTTCGGCGGAGGGGTCTGTACTCTGGGTCCGGTTCCCCAGTAGAGTGTCGGATCTCCTTCGGGAGCGCCACACTCAATGGACCGGTAGGGGATGCGGCGACCCTGACTTCAAACGCCCGGCGGTGCGGCGCCGATAGGGGGAGGTCTGCTCCCTGTCCGTAACGACGCGGGTGTTCCCGCAGGCGTGTCGCCGTGTTTCTGGGTGCTCCCGGGGCACGGCTTGACACATGCCAGGGGGGGTGGTGCTCCACCCAGGGGAGGGGTTTTTCTTGGAGGTCTGCGGGGCCGCTCGGACGTATTCCGAGGCAGGATCCGCAGTCTCCCTGTAAAGCCGTTGCGTCGATGGGCCGTGAGGCCGCTCGGACGTATTCCGAGGCAGGGCTCACGGTCTAGGGCCACCGGGGCCGCTTGGACGTATTCCAAGGTCTGGGTCCGGTGGTCGGTGTAGATTTGGGCACCCGCATGGGGAACTAGGGTCGGAGACTCTGCCTCCCTCGGGGGGATGTGAGGAATGACCCGGCCCATAGCCCCATGTGGGGATCGCACCCGTGGAGGCACCACGCTTGCCCAGGACACCGCGACACGGGGATGATGCCGTTGTGTGGACCGGGGTGCGGATGTTACATCCCCGCACCACCGGATAGCCCACGTGACAACTCCGAGCAGTCACGTGAAGGGAATACCCACCCCCGGAGCGGCGGACTCACCCTCGATCGGAGAGGGGTCGCGGTGTGTGTGTTCATTATACGTAACCATGGCTCATATAAATAAAAACTTTTTAAATGTCGTGCCGTCAATGTTCAAGGGGAGTCGCCCCCTGAAGGCGATGTTCGGGGCCCGCAAGGGAACCCCGCCACGGGATGATTCCTCCAGCGGGACATCGCTGGATATCCCGGCGCACTTAACTCCGGGTACACCGGAGTATGAAGAGTTTCTCCGACTGAGAGGTGGGGGGAGTCTGTCACGTACCCCCCCCTCGGGCACGGCATCCACGTCCGAGGATCCCGCCAAGACGAAGGGTCAACCTCCTCGACGACCCGGGCCGCGCTTCACGAAGCCCAAGGCCCCGGAAACAGATGGAGTCCCCGGCGCCTTAAAGCCGTCTCCATCTATGGAGTCGGTGGCGTCGGGTGTGTCGGCGGCTTCAACCAGCTCGGGAGCCACGAAGAGGCCAGCCGCGAGCTCACCCTCCGGCGATGACGAGGTGGAGGTGGTGGGAGAAGAACAGCCCACTGCTGCCATACTTCGCCCCCATAAAAAGGGCAGGGGCAGGCCGGCAATTGACCCATCCCACGAAGGGATGTTTACAGCGGCCAAACGGCTGGAGGCGGAAATGAAGAGGAAGGACGAGGAGGACGAAGAAGCCCTCAGGGTGGCCCTCGATCCTCAAACACGCCCCGTGCCCAGCAAGAAGCTGGACGCGATCATGGCCTCGG